GATAATAATAATAATAATAGTAATAATAATAATAATAATATTGAAAACGACAATTTTGATACAACTACCATTACAACATCTAATACTATTACTAGAACTACTTGCACTAATAGTAGTACTACTACTACTATTACCACTACTACTTCTAGTAGTAGTAGTGGTAGTAGCGGTAGTGGTATTAGTAGTAGTGGTAGTGGTAGTAGTGGTAGTAGTAGTAGCAACTGCGGCTCTAAAAATACTACTCTATGGAGGTCATCTGCAAAGACAAAAGACATCGAATGTGCAAGGAACGCGGACATAAATAAGACTGCTATCATTTTCGAAGATCTAATTTTAAACAACAACAACAACAATAACAACAACAATAATAACAATAATAATAAAAACGATAATAATAACAATGACAATAATAGTATTAATAATAGAATTATAAATAACAGTGATAATAGTAGTAGTAATAATAACAACAACAACAACAACAACAATAATAATAATGATGATGATGACGTCAACAATGGTACAGACGTAAACCTCTTAAACAACGACAATGTCAACATCAATAATGGTAACAACGTCATTAACGCTTACATTAACGAAACTGGCAACAGCAACAATTGCATCAGCGATTACAACGAAAACAACAACGGCAATCATAATGACGTTAATAACAACAACGAAAACAACAACAACAACAACAACAACAACAACAATAATAGCAATGACAATATTACCGAAGCTAGCCCCGTCAACAACAATGATAGAAACAACATCAACAACAACAATAATAATAATAATAATAGCAACAACTACAACAACATCAACAACAATAACAATAATAATAATAATAGCAGCAGCAACAACAACAACAACAACAGCAACAGCAGTGACATCAACGACATGAACAACAACATTTATTCTATAATGGTTAGACGGGATTTGTACTATTCATTGCATTGTGCGCATTTAAATGCACATAATAACCCGAAACGTGGTCATTAAAATAACAAAAATAACAACAATAACGACAATAATGACATTAATAATGAATGTTATAGCCATATACACAATGGTGTAATGGTTTAGATGCCTGAACTCTTTAAAAAGACAATGGTGTAATGGTTTTTTTAAAAACTAATCATGGATTAATAAATTTAATACGAGTTAAAAATTGATTTGTTTAGCTCAACAGATTGGTTAACTGTTGTTGCAAGCGTAAAACTTTCGTCCAATCAAATTTGAGTATGCTCGGCACGTGGTCAAAGATGGCGGCCAATGGGAATAAAGATGCCATCGAGGTTTAACGCTTATTGGTTGAATTTTGTTGTTGTTGTTGATGTTGATGTTTTTTGACTGTTTACTTCATTCTTGTAAGGTTGTGCTATGATGAAGTATTGTTGAATTTCGAATTTAGTTTCGATCGCTGTATGGTGTTAGTGTGATTGCTTTGCAGTGGGTTCTGCTGGGTCAGGGTCTATTTAAATTTATTAATTTGAAAAGTTTTTTGACTGTTACTAATGATTGTTTCAATGAATTTGTGAAAAACAAAATGTTAATGAGATTCGCTTATGTCTTTAAATTCATGGAAAACTTTGCGAATTAGTCCTAAAAATTCAAAATATTTATTTTCAATCAGCTGTTGGTGATGGCATTGGAGTACGATATGATACCGGCGAGTCGAGACATCCGAAAAATAACGAGACAGCTCTCGAGAACGAGCCACGGACATGAAGCCCTGAAGGAATTGCGGCAAAGAAAGAAGGAACTGAATATTTTAGTTAGAAGTTTTCATTTTATTTCATTTATTTTTTTTTTCAATTTGACTTTATTAATAAAAAATTTTTAATTTTTAATATACATTTTATTTCAGGATGGCTAAATGTGATAAATTGGTCATTCTTGAAAATATTTTGAGTCATAGTAGGGCCATATTTTAATGTTATATTGATTAGTGATGAAATAACTTTATCCACTCACAAATTCATGCGTATTTGAAGTAAATAAAAACGCTGAAATAATAAAACAGCGTAATAATAATAATAATAACGATACGACATTGAAATAGCCCTGACAACATAACACCCATATCTAGCAGCAGAAAAAAGGCCCTTCAAATCTCAGCCTCCCAGCTAGAGCCACCGACGCTGACCTTTCGAAAAGGTTGAACTTTGAGCCTTTTGGTAATCTAATGACCCTCAATTTGGCCTTTACCTCGGTCACCAGTGCTTGCGCCCTTGATTTAATTAAACTGCCATCTTTGAAGAATTTAAATCTTTGGTCTACCAAGGTTTGGAGTTTCTCCGGATATTAAAATTCCATTTGACAAACGCTTAAAATTCCATTTGAAACACGCACACACACACATATATACATTACACACACACACATATACACACCACACTCATATACACCACACGCACACACATCACACACACACACACATCGATACGCATACACACAAACACACATTCATATTCATATTCATAAAAATTACATAAATCATATTGGTTACATGGTCACACACATAAACAAACATACACACACACACCACGCATACACACATGCAAACACACACACACACACACACGCCACGCATACACACATGCAAACACACACACACACACAAAGTTCGGAGACGAAGGACTGCAGTTGATATGCGAGCACATGCAGTCGTTAGAGGTTTTGAACCTGTGTGAAACACCCGTCACTGATAAAGGACTGCTATGTTTGACGGGTTAGAAAAAAATTTCGCATTTTTACACGCTATTTCTGGTTCTTTTTTACCATTTTTTGTTTAAATTTATTTGTTTTTTCGTTGGCTTTATATTCCGCGGTTTGTAAAATTAGTTGTATAAATTATGTGTTTGTTTGTTTGCTTGTGTGTCTGTGTGTGTATTTTTTAAAATAAATAATGAAACAAAACCATTATATAAAAAAAATAATTTTTAGTAAAACAATATTTATTTACTTTAAAATGACTTTTTAAATACTTTTCAAAAACAGCTCTGAGAAACCTGAAGAAGTTAAATCTTAACAGTACGAGCGTGTCGGCCACAACTCTTCAAAATTTAAAAGTAAACTTCTGTATTAATGTGTGTGTGTGTGTGTGTGTGTGTGTGTGTGTTGTATAAGTGTTTGTAAGTGAGTGTGTTATTGTGTGGTCCTGTGTGTTAGTGTGTATGTGCTGTGTGCATGTTCGTTTGTTAGTGTGTGTGTATGAGTAGTGTTGAGTATTTGTGTGTGTGTGTTTATGGGTATGTATTGTGTGCTTGTTTGTGTGTATGTGTGTGTGTGTAGTGTTGTGTGTTAGTGTGTATTTATGTGTGTGTGTGCCTATACAGCTGTTAAAATAAACTAGAGTTCGTTTTATTTTAACTGGCAAAAACCAGTCAAAACATACAACTACATGGTATAAATTAAAGGACACATAAATCAACCCACCGTGCGATCAATTCATGTAACAGTTTTTAAATCTTTCATTCATTAATTTGTTCTTTTATTAAATCGATTGCTTATTCATTTGTTCATTCATTCATTTATTCATTTATTCTTTTGTACGTTTGTTTGTTTGTTCGTTCGTTCGTTCATTCATTCATTCATTAATTCTTTCTTTTTTTCTTTCTATCTATCATTACCGTCTCCATCATTTCACTCTTCCATTCACTCACTCCTTCATTCATTCAACTCCCAACAGTCGAAACTACCGAACCTCAAAGACGTTGACGTTTGCTACACAGACGCTTGGTGAAATTTCATTGGCAAACTAACTTCGTGATGTCATCAACACTCCATCCAGTAGAATTATTTTACGAAGAAAATAATTAACATTTCATAAACTATTCATGTCTATATATTTATATATGTATGTTATCAAATTTATATGATCTTGTTTGTATATATACATATACATATGTATATATATATATATACACACATATATATACAATAATACAAATGTATACAATAATACAAATGTATGTATTTGTGTTGGCGTATGAATACGCAATTAAATACACACATACACGTACAGAGTAAAACTTGAAGATATGAAATATCGAATATAAATCAAGCTTGAAGTATGGGTCATATCGACAAGGCATTGAAGGCTTAACGTGACACAAATGGTACTTTTTCTACTGTACTTTATTTTGTGTACTACGATGCAGTATTTCATTGTGTTGTTGTATTGCAGTAGTACTATGTGTGTATGTGTGTGTCTGTGTGCGTGTTTATGTATGTGTGAGTCTGTGAGCACGTGTGAGAGTGTGTGCATGCAAAATTGTTCAATACGCGTTACGCACATATCTATTACACATTTGATGATATATGTTGTCTAATACATATACATATTTGACAATGTATGTTTTATCAATGTTGTATATTTTTCCATATACATACACAAACACAATAATATATAAATAAATATATATTTATATATATATATATATATGTTTGTGTGTGTGTGTGTGTTGTGTTTTTTATATATGTATTGTATCTCTCTTTCTCTCTCTCTCTCTCTTTATATATAAATATATATATATGCTTACACATACATATATATTGATTGATACTAAATATTTCACTTCAATTGTTTTGTTATTTGTTGTTATATATATATATATATATATATATAATATATTTATAATATATTTATATTTATTTATTTATTTATATATGTGTTTTGATGTAATTATGTTATAAAAATAATATGTTGACGTCATTACGGTCGTCACCATCATCGTCGCCATCCTCATCCTGTCTCTTATTGGTATTTTATCACGTTTCTATATTTAGAAGTATCGTTATTATTATTTTATTGTTGTTTATTATTGTTATTATTGTTGTTGTTATTGTTGTTGTTGTTGTTGTTGTTGTTGTTGTTTTTGTTGTTACTTTCTAGTTTCTATTTCTGTTTTCACCATTATCGATTCGAAAGTTTCAACTTTTTCCATGTTTGTATCATCATTAAAGCTGATTTAACATCACCATTCCACACATAAACA